AGAAATGACATTTTACTCTTTCTTACATTGTTTACCTTGTTTCTACCTTTTTCTTACCTTTGTTCTACCTTTTTTCTACCTTTTTCGTACCTCTTCCGCTTCGAGCCAGGAAAATGCTTGGAAATCAGAAAACAGCAGCGTTCCTTTGCGAAAAGGTAGAAAAAAGGTAGAAAAAAAGTAGAAAAAAGGTAGAAAAAAAGTAGAAAAAAGGTAAAACAAAAGGTAAAAACAAGGTGGAAAAAAGGTAAAAAAATGTAAACAAAAAAAAGTAGAAAAAAGGTAGAAAATGTAAAAAAAAAGAGATTATTTCATTTTTCTTTTACCTTTGTCTACCCTGTTTACCTTTTTTTAACTTTTTTTACATTTCTTAATTTTCCACGATTTACATTTTTTGACCTTTACCTTTTTGGATTACTTTTTTTTACATTGTTCCACCTTTTAAAAAAATCATCTTTTCCTTCGTCTCCATATGAGTAGGGGTTATAACCTTAGAAGACCTTATGGAGACCAAGTCCCGTGGTCTTGTCCCTTTGCTTAAGGCGCTGCACAATGCGTTTGCAAACCTCAGAGGCCACGTTTGCATCCAACATTTGGCGCCGTCCAATGTCAGAGGTTTGAAGCCTAAAGCCTCCTAGGTCCTACAGCTTGACGTGCCTTGTAGCTAGTCTTTTCTGTAAGAGCTGTTCGACGTCTTGAACATTTGTAGTTGCCCTCCCCTGAACCGACATGGAACCCCCAAAAATGCCTGATGAAGACTGCTGGCGTTCTTGAAGGTGACTATTTGAGGATCCTTGTTGGTTTGTAGGGGCCATATTCCACAGGATTCTGAATCACGAGGAAGAAAACACATGGCCAAGCCGTACTAGCGGCACCAACTACTAACAGGGATACCGCGCATCACGCTGGAAGGCAATCCAGCAAAACTTTCTTGAGCATCTTCGTAAATATCAGGTAAAGCTGTGCCTCAACCGTATAGACACCTACAGTCACTGGCGTTTAAATTGGAGACAGTTGGAGTTGTGACTGGATCTAAGTACTTGCTTGGCATTCTCACATTTTCCTGCCTTCGCCGTTCAAGCCAAGGAATGTTCTACACTTCATGCTGGAGTTGGCCAGCCTCAACTCGCGCGGTGGTTTGCAAAGGCGCAGCAGTCCTCGTTGATCTCTCGCAGCTACGAGTATCATTCAGCTTCAGAATTGCAACACGGCATGTGGGCATGTGAGTCCTGGTATCCTACTTAACTGGGCTCCAGGAGGTGGCAGGGGTTAGGTCCAAGGCGCCTCCAAGCCGCCATGTCGAAGCTTAATATTGACAACCTGAAGAAGGGCATCGCCGCTGTCCCAGTCGAGATTGAAATGTCACGCGGACAGGGAGCTGAGTCGGAGTCGCGCTAAGGCCGGAATCCTTGAAGGCAGCAAGGAGAAGCAGCGCAAGTTCCTTGAGACAGCTCGGTGCTTATTTGCAGAATTGCAGTTGCCGGTGGCTGGTGCACCGGGCCATAACGAATTTTGCATGTTTTTCTTGCGGCCATTTGCCATACAGGTCGAGCTGCAGATTGGCCTGAAGGATTACGACACCCAGCGTGACAAGCGCTTTGCAGGCAGACATTTCTACATCCTGAGTTCACAAGGATCAGGAAGGTGAAGTTCTTGCCATTGTAAGTCAGCCAGGCACCATCAAGCTTCCACACGTCCCGCGACCGCGCTTGAAGGTGCTGGGTCCGACCTAGGTATACCTTATCAAGCATACAGTCTTCTGAGAGCAGCAGCATCTTGCAGTGACACTGAAGCTTGGTGAAGCAGGTGTGTGTACTTGGTGACGCCGTGCACTGTGAGCAGGCTCAACGCGCCGGGGCCCGAAGATGGTCGGACTCAAACTGCAAGCTTTCAAGTCTCAATTTGCAATGGCAGCACTGCAGAGGCCAACATTCCCTTCAAGAGTGTGGAGGACGCAGGGTGCAGTTCGAGCTAAGTTATGGATGGACGGAATCTGGCACTCTGGGACTTTGAGTTCTGTTGCGAAATCGGACCTCCCTGCTTGCAGCCGCACAAGGATCTGAAAAAGTTGAACAAGAACAAGAAAATGGTCAAAAAGCCGCCAAGCATTGTGAAATGTATATAGATCCACGGCAGATCAACTTGAGGCAGTGCTTCTGCTAAGGCTGGCTGACAGCTTTGATGCCTTCCTGGCTTCTCAGGCTCAAGACACGCACGTGCACACCAAGCCGTACCTTTTTCTGGATTGCAGGTGTTGATTCCACAGATCCCCAGGTTGTTGGGCCCTGGCTTGAACAAGGCAGAAAGCTGATCACCTGCCGCAGCGCAATCTCTTCCAAAACTGCAGGCAGGCAAGTTCCCGACTCTGGTGCAGCACTCGGACAACCTGGAGACCAAGGTCACGGAGGTCAGGAGCCAGGCAGGTTTCAGAGCCATGTTGATTCATGCGTTCTTGAGCCAATGGCTTGAGCAAATCCTCAGACTTGTATTCCAGCCCATCTGCAATATCCAGTCATCCGACAGATAAGCAAGCGTTTCCTGGCAAACTGCATCAAGCTTTGCTAGTATTCGCACGAGCAACCCGGGGTGAACTGAAGGGACCAGGAGAAAGTCATGAAAAGACAATCGATTGCCGAGCAGCATGCCTCTGGGAAGTGGCGGCGGCGGCGGCGAGGGTGGAACAGTACCACCAGCTTTAGGGCTGGTCAGGTGAAGTTCCAGCTGAAGAAGGTGCTGTGCATGGGCGTCGCAGTGGGCAACGTCGCCATGACTCCAGATGAGCTGAGGCGCCGGCTCATGCTACAATGCCACTGCCATTTGGTCATGCTCGATTATGATTTAAGTTTTTTGTTGCATGCCATAGGCAGAACTGCCTCATGGCTATCAATTTCTTGGTATCGCTGCTCAAGAAGAACTGGAACAACGCAGCTTGCCTGACAGAACAGCAACATCTTCCATTCTCTTCTGGTTGATGTACCCCACGCAAAGTTGCCTGAAGCATGATCTATGTTTGGCCTGCTCATCGTCTTTTGACACTTCTGTGCGTGGCCCGAGCGCGGCTTCAGGTGAAACGCCTACACATCAAGAGCACGATGGGCAAGCCCTTCACAATCTATGGCTGAGATTCTACACGAGCTTGGACGGTTGGACCTGCCTTGGACAGAAATGGAGTGCCTGCAGCATCTGAGGGCTTGCAGCAGCATTGTCGCAGTGTCAATTGCGGTTGTGTAACAAACCCGTCCAATCAGAAATCCAGTGTTTGACGTAGGCTTCAAGGAGTTAATCTGTTGTCCTCG